ATGATAACAAGCCTCCAGCCACTAGGTGGCAGCAACTCATACAGTGGTTTGTACGATACTATCAGGTTCTCAATAGTACTTTAATTCGTGGGGTACTGGGGTGAAAACATTTCTGTTGGGGGGGGGGCATGACAAAAATGAATTGAGATTAAAGGGATTAAAGGAATTAAAGAGATTAAAGGAACACAGTGCAAAACAGCTTTGAATTGAAAAAAAAGTTTTCAAATGAGAAAACCAATATTGCCCAATGTGTAAATGCATACACATCTTCATAAAAGTGGAAAAATAAATAATACTTATCACTCGTGCTTGGCTAATTAAAGACATTTTATTTTTGTTATGCATTACAACAGTATTTATGAAAAAATACAATACGTAATAATAAAGTATGAACATAAACAAACAAAGGTACAACAATAGCTTCGGAAAAATAACTTTTTTCATAGCAAACATGGAAATAAAAAATGTATTGGGGGATAACGATCGTCTTTTTGATCACCCTGGCTTTGCAGTAACACAATATTAAGAGTAAAACATTAATCACATATTTAATAAAAAAATGTTACAGCCATCAATTATCACATTTTAATTCAAACTTTTTTTTTTTTTTTTAAATCTTTGCGGGATTCTTAGTTCAGACACAATGATAAAACGACATATCCTTAATATCACGGTATCTGTATATTTACACGCGTTATGATATTCTCGTGCATAGACATGTACAGACATTATGCCATGCACACTGATACATGCAACAATGTGTTTGGAAGTCCTTGTGTGTAAACTATCATTTCCATGGATCCGTCACAACAACCTTATTACCTGATTGTTGTCACCAGAATAACACTGTGAGACTAGGAACGGAAATAGCGTTTGAGTGAGATCGATCACTTTCGTTCTTCTTTCGTTCGGTTCTAAATGAGAATGGCAAGTCCCACTGGGATACAGTAGCTCTATTTAGAATTAAGAAAGACCCCCTGTAATTAAGGAATCGTGGAAAGTTGGCATCTTCGGAGAAAACAAACTAAATTGGATGGTTATTAAGGGACCAAATTTAACACAGAGGTTTCGGGTTTCGAGTTTCTTTTTTTTTTATCAATACTTATTGTTCTAAATCAGGTATGGTAAACAAACCTCCCATCACTAGGTGGCAGCAACTCATACCATGGTCTGTACCAGGTATGGGCAAACTAAGGCCCGGGGGCCAGATGCGGCCCGTTCGGCTTTTATCCGACCCGCCAAACTTTTCCAAATTATATAATTTATTTATATTACCATTATACTTCTGCCCTTTTTCCCCTGCAATAGCTCCGTTTCCCCAATAGATGGTGTAGTAAATGTCAATGTCATTTATGCTAGTTCGCACGAACGCTCCATCTAACTGCTCCTGACCCCCCCCCCGCCCTTGTTCAATTTTAGGACAATTGTGGCCCGCGAGTCAAAAAGTTTGCCCACGCCTGGTCTAAATGAATGTACGATTACATTTGTATAACTGATATTCACTTTCACGTACCTTCTCGCATTACACGTTTTTCTCAGGTGTTCCACAAAGTCTTTATCTAAACATCAATTGTTTAAATAAACATGCCATTAACACAAATTTTACGGGAAACCATTTTGTGTTTAATGATATAATTTATTGAAATATTTTGAGACAAATCTAAGAAGTCATACATTGTTTTCTTCTCTCGTAACAGTCATAGAAATTAATGGGTTTTGTTACGGGCAATTGGAGTCCCTTACCATAATCCTGCAACCTTTGCTTATTTAGATCTCTAGAAATGACTTCGGTGTTCTTTGTTAGCTTTGCTAACTTACAATTTCCTTATCTCTGCCAGATGACATTGGCATTAACGGGGCAAATTCCTGTTGTTCAAGGATCACTTAAAGACAGTAATTAAACCGTGAATGTCTGTTTATGTTGGCCAGAGTGTATGAATGTATGAAAGTTTATGGTGAAATGTCAAATTTAAAATATAAATCTTATACGTTTGAAATTAAGAAGTGTAAGTAACAATTGGAAACACTGCAGATCTGCCTTGTGACATATAACACACTGCTACCACACACTGCTTGCACCTTTAGTTACAGTAATTTAATACAGTGACAGTAGCCTCGGGGTTACATTAGAACAATGTCTGGTTGAGACAGAAATGAAATTGTGCCTCACTACCTCTGACCCCATCTATGTCGCTCTTCCTCCAACCTTCCCTCGCTTTACCTTCTACCCTGCTGTGTGTGCTCGCTCAGGTGGCAGTTGCATCCTCTTTGCTGTCGCAGTCGCTCTGGTAGTACAGCTAGAGCTCATGAGATACTGTGTTAGTAGTTGGAAGATAATAATAATAATGTTTAATCACCACAGTTTCTCTGTGGCCACAACAAACTCGTCATTAGACACTGCACGTCTTCCTTGTCGCCTTGTGTAGTAGTGCTCGTGCTTAAACACAACAGTCACGGCAATGGATGGACGGACGCTCAGTGTTTACAAAAACGGTGATCATTGAGACAAATTGATCTCCTTCTGATGTAATTGGCACTGCAATCATTGGTAAATTGAACAGTGAACTATCTGGGATCAATTGGCAGCGTGGAGAGTGGTACCAAGGGACGGAAAAACAAGTGAATATGTAGAAAGGTGTAGGTTGTTTTTGTTTATTAAATAAGCAAAGTAGCACAATTAATATATATATATATATATACATACATATATATGTATAAATATATATGTATGTATGTATATATATATATTAATTGTGCTACTTTGCTTATTTAGCTTATCAACATAGGTTTCAAAACACTGAACAACAACAAAAAAAAAAACCAACCTACACCTTTCTACATACATAACGTAGAAACGTTATACGTATTTCGTGTTTGTGCGCGAACAACAGCAACGTACAGCTGTATCATCTATATGCAATGCAGCAAATAAAAATACAATGGCGTATTGGACATAATACACACACACACACACAAAATTAGGTGATATAGCCTATACATTAAAAAAAAAACTTTGTACACTGTAACAGTTTCCGGAGAAGCATCCTATGTGCTTTATTTGCACTAATTGAAAACCTGTAATTTTTTTTTTTTAGTTTTTGAATTCCTTCCTTCTAGTGAATTCCTTTATGTTGCTCGTCCGTATCCGGTATTACTGTGGCGATCCTCGATAAGAAAGCCGAATAGACAATGGTATTGTCAGGTCTTTAACAGACTTTTTTTCCCCGAGTTTATCTACCGCGATTTGATTCAAAGTTGTGTTTTATTTTGAAGAACAGGCAGAGATTCAAACGGTTTATTTATTTCTGCTTTCACTTTTTTTTTGGGGCGTAATTGTTTAAACGTCAAGATTCAAACGGTTTATTTATTTCTGCGTTCACTTTTTTGGGGCGTAATTGTTTAAACGTCGTACATCGAGTCTTGTATGTATTTTTCTGTTGTTATTGTTTGGCGTTAGTTTAGTTTTTGTTATTGTCACGTTAACAACTTCATATAAATGGTCTAAATTATGAATATTAATGTAACCAGTTTCCCGCTTTAACTTTTCACTGTCGCCATGTATCGCATTTGCACAATTCTAAGTAAAAACGTTGCTTAATAAAATATTTTGAACAGTTTCTCCGGTTTTGTGGATATCGCAGGGTTACGTTTCTAAACACTGGTTCTTAGCACCTCCCCCCCCTCGTCCCTTCAACATTTACGTCTTCTAACGACGAATTATTCAATGTTCTGTTTTGAAAGGCGGCTAAAATAATAGTCCGACTGGACACTGAGGTTTTCAAATAGACAGGACCAATTCCCTCGCTCGGCAACAACGAGACGTGACGTATAACAGTCGTGTGTCTTCTCTCCCTCTCTCCTGCTCTCTCTCTCTCTCTCTCTCTCTCTTTCTCCTCTCTCATTCTTTCTCTACCTCGAGGTTTAGCACCAGCGTCATTAAATTCAGACATTGCCAATCTTCCAATTAACACCGTGCATTTGTTTCGTCAGTTTGAGAGGAATATATTTACCACTTTTACTCAAGACGAGGGCGAAGACTTAAGTTATTATCAGGGAAGATGCTGCACACCCTTGCGGACGAATCAGCAACAAATGCATTTGGTATGTTGAATTAAAAGCCTTAACTGTCACTATTTATCATTTACGAAATTTGCGCGTTAATTATCAGAAATGGCAACTCACTGAATAGCTGCGTCGATGTATGTGCCGATTTTATCAAGAATTTATGAATCGCCTTGTTTTAAATCGTAACAAAAAAAAAAAAAAAAGCTCTACTTACCGCTGAAAGAAAGCTAGATCTTTAAATCCGATAAATCCGACGCGGACAACCCTCAAGGCTTTCTCGTCCGAGTCAAAGTGTAATGAGCACACTTATACCCCAAAATAGTCTAAATTGGTCGATGCGTGCTCTCTTAGTTAGTTGACTTCAATGCGAGAGACTGAAGCGCTTTCCCTTTTCTGATGGCTGCCTCCTCTGAAATGATTTTTTTTTTTTTTTTTTTTTGCAGAGAAGTGTCATACGCTAGGGGGCAGACATACACTGCATTGTCTATCCTGCTGCTTCTGATGTCCGCTTTGTGTAAACACTGCTAGACTGTCCATGCTGTGGTGCCGTGACGTTTCAGCAATTCAGCTATGACTTGAAAAGAAGAAGAAAAAAATATTAACAATTCTAGTATCTATCTATCTATCTATCTATCTATCTATCTATCTATCTATCTATCTATCTATCTATCTATCTATCTATCTATCTATCTATCTATCTTTTACATTTTAAACAAAAGGGTTTGCTTTGTTTGCTTATACCCCGAATCGGTTCTTATTGTTGTCTTTCCTTTGTGTGTTTTACCTATTTTTTAGAACAAGAGGATCCGATGTGTTAACAAATAATCTCCGTTTAACATACATTCCTTTATTTTGGATTATTTTCGAACCATTGTTTATACTGTAGTAAAGCGTATTGATGATAATATATATATATATCTATATAAGTATATATATATTTTTCCAGCATAGAATGGCTTCTTTAGGTGTACATGGGTTAGAACTTATGCTCCATGCCCCCGTGCAAGTTTGAGTAGACTAGAAAATACTACCACTCTCTGCAGAAAAAGAAAAACCAAAAAAAAAAACCCCTTCTCCTATTCGGACCAAGCGGCCCTCTCGACCTCCAAATTCTGGATCTGGCAAGGTACCAAGTAGCGCAAGTGTATTGTAGCCAATGGGAGTGAGGGGGAGGTCCCTGAGCTCTGACCAGTCAAATACATCCTCCTTCCTTATATGGCAGCCCGTCTCCATGGTAACGTGTGCAAAGTTGCAGCAGTGGTGTCAAAGTTCACTATATAGAGAGCTCAGTGAGCTGATCAGAGCGAAAGCATTCAGCCAGCCAGCTCCTATACCAATCGCAAATCACTTCCTAACCTCTGCTTTTTTTTTAAAAAACTTATTTGATCACTTTGAGGTTTTCTTGCCCTGTGTTTTTGTATGCTCGACACGGAGGCGGTGTTATCTATCTATCTATTATCATCATCATCATTATTGTTAGTATTTGATTTTGTGTTTTCTCTTTTTGGAGGAAGGGAGAGACATTGCTTCATATTCCTGAAAACAGTGCAGCTGCACGGTCGCTGGTGCTTATACCTCACGAGAAGAACGGAAGGAGACAAGAAGAAAGGAAAAAGACGTTGTTGTTTTTTTTTTTTGGACCTAGTTGATTATTTTCTGGAAGACTTGTTTCTTTTTACTTGACAGTAGCGCTGCATTCACGGGTCGTTTTGATGCTGCTGTTGCAGTTGCTGATGCAGGCGCGGTCCCAACCTCCATCAACCCACCGCATGTTCGACTGACCGTCCATGTATGCTACCTTAGTTGATTATCCCACCGCCGGCGCCTTGGACCTCTACTAATGGTATTGTGCCCCTTGGACTTGGCATTTATGAGCGCCGAGACAGCGAATCGGCGTCTCCATTGACAGCGACGACTGTTTTCTAGAGTGGAGCAAATCCTTTATGTGCACGTAGACGTCAGAGTTTACACTTTTACCACAGTCCCTTATTGAAACTTTGGTTCCGAGCGACTGCAAAACGGGAGACAAAAAAAAAGTTTCTTTACGCTGACTGATAGATATGGCAATGGTAGTGTGGAGAGGCTCCCAGGACGACGTGGCTGACACCCAAGGCGCCCTTTCATCGCAGACGCCAGGTGGGCTATCCATTCCCAACCCACAGGCAGGCCAGCTGAGCCTGAGTGGCTCTCAGGTCGCTCCGCCAACCCCGCACACCCCGGTCCAAGCGGGCGCCCCGAACAATGCACAGTCCACCCCTACGACCCAGAGCACACAGCAGCCAGATAAGCAACCGGCGCAGATCGAGTGCGTGGTCTGCGGGGACAAATCGAGCGGCAAGCACTACGGTCAGTTCACGTGCGAAGGCTGCAAGAGCTTCTTCAAGAGGAGCGTGCGACGGAACCTCACGTACACGTGCCGGGCCAACAGGAATTGTCCAATCGACCAGCACCATCGCAATCAGTGTCAGTACTGTCGCCTCAAAAAGTGCCTTAAAGTTGGCATGAGACGGGAAGGTATTTGGATTTTTTATTAATTCATTTCAAATTCAGTATATGTGTGTGTGCATTCACAATGGGAGAGTCGTAAAGCCTCCGATGTCCCTCAGAGCCTGCGCCCTGCTTTACACCCCCCCCCCTCCTGCTCGCTCTGCGGCTGGATCTTTATGTGGAGCATCTGTGTGATGATCGTCACTGGGCTAGTTCTTAGCGTTTAGCCATGAGCACTTGCAGAATATTAGTCAAATTAGCCTATTGCTATTATTGGATAATATACTTTTAACGGGATCTGCGCATTGCCGGATAATATACTTTTAACGGGATCTGCGGCCGAAGAGAGCCAGAGTTATTGAACACGCGCTGTGGCTCTATGTGCGTTTGGCAGTACTGTTTGTTGACCGTGAAGTCCAGACACCAACTCGAATTCAACACGTATGTCAAAACCATTGGGCTTCGCGTTAACGTCGTAGCCGACAATAGTCCTATGCTTGTGTGGCCGCACACGTACACGTCGATATGAGAAATAGAGATGAAGCCAATCTGCCTTCGAGCCTTAACTGAAAAAAAAAACCAAACGTGTTATTAATGTTAATGATGATAATGTTAATAACACCGTACATAGACACACATACAAACATAGCCTACATATATTTTGTGCAGCAGCAATTCGCACAACAACATGTTACGTTTCGGTGAATGTAACACTTTTACACCCACTGTTTGTCATAAGTGCAGATGGAACATCAATAAATAATAAAACCTTGTGTCATTATTATAAAGGAAACGTGTATATAAACACAGGAAAGGGTAGTTAACGTCGAGTCATACTTTCATATGTAACATTTTAACATACCGGAAGTAGGTTTATATGAAAAAAAAACGTATAATTAAAAACGTATACAAACACCTTCACGTTGATCATTATTACGTTACTATGCAACGTGGACGTGCTTTTATTTATGCTAGTATATATAGCAATGCCAATATAAATGCGAAAGCATACATAAATCAAATATGTGTTTTTCCAAAAGTTACTTTAATATGTCGGTGGCAATACTGTCTTAATGGACACCATGAAGATTTAGTGTCACATTTGTGAAATTAATTTCATCATAAACCTGTTGTCTCTGTTTATGTCATTACTCTTCTAATAAATAAGAATAAGTACACGACGACGTTAGTGATGTGCTTATTTGTACTGCTGTCATAATATTATTATTATTATTATTATTACTACCATCGTCATTGTGTGTTACCAATAGCTGAAATTCGGCTTCAATATCTGCAGTTTCTCTTTTTACTGCAGCCGTGCAGAGGGGACGAGTGCCACCCACGCAGCCACACCATGGCCAGTTCGCCCTGACCAACGGTGACCCACTCCACTGTCATTCCTACTTATCCGGATATATCTCTCTTCTGCTGAGAGCCGAACCTTACCCGACGTCCCGCTACGGCAGTCAATGCATGCAGCCCAACAACATCATGGGCATCGAGAACATTTGTGAACTTGCGGCCAGAATGCTCTTCAGTGCTGTCGAGTGGGCCAGAAATATCCCCTTTTTCCCAGACTTACAGATAACTGACCAAGTGGCGCTCTTGAGGTTGACGTGGAGCGAGTTGTTTGTGCTCAACGCCGCGCAGTGCTCCATGCCCCTGCATGTGGCTCCTTTACTTGCCGCCGCCGGCCTGCACGCCTCCCCCATGTCTGCGGACAGAGTGGTGGCCTTTATGGACCACATAAGGATCTTCCAGGAGCAAGTGGAGAAGCTCAAAGCTTTGCACGTGGACTCTGCTGAATACAGTTGCATAAAGGCAATTGTGCTCTTCACCACAGGTAAGGAACACACACGTGGCAATTCACAAGTTTGAACTGCATGAACATGACCAGTGCACGTGCAATGACGTTGCCTCGATATGGGCTGCTTGCCTACATGCCTCAGTTAAGTTGATGCCTGTTCTTATTTACATGTTGAGGATGGACGCTGGTCTCTTTGTGTGCTATTGTGTGGGGTCGTGTTAAGTGGTAAATGCCGCTTAGCATCGACTGACCGACCAGCACGCATTGCTATAGCCACTGTTATATACTTATATCCACTGTTGTGGCTATAATGGAAACTGTGGCTTGCCATTTCTCAGTTAAACCTAACAAAAAGAAGAAGAAGACAAAAACCACACAGAAACTGTGCAGTCATGATATGTTTAATATTAGTACGCACATAAAAAAAATGGCGTCCGAAAGCTTTTCATTTCGTTAGCGAGTGCTAATGTGATAAAAGGGCACTTAATTAATAGTTGACGACGATTAAAGACTGTGGCGCCAATAACATACGTTATATTCACTCGAAAAAGACGTCGGGGCAGGAGGTTTTGAGAATCATATAGACTTCTTTTCTCTTATCGTTGTGAATTTTGATGTGCTGATGGGTGTTTGTAGGGCTGCTGTCTTGTTTGTAAAACCAGTGACGGATGTAAATTATGTTAGGTTCTCGGGAGAGACTGGATAGGACGTCGTCGTTTGGTCCAATTTCGTTTGGGTCACTTGGTCACGCTAATATTGAATTTATTGAAAAAATACTGAAATATTTGCTTATTTTATTCTTCAAATATATATTTTCTCTCCCTCTATTTCATCCCTTTTCCATTATCCTTAAGTCTCACACTCTCGTTCTTTTCCTTCTCTTGTTGCCTAGTGTGGGATTCAGCAAGCCATCTGTGAACTTGTTCTAGAACTGGGTCATGAACTTCCCAGTTATTTTTTTTGCTATGTTCGCCGTACACACTATAAAAAGAAAAGGGCTTATTAAAAAAAAAAAAAATCACGTGTGCCAGATTTTCAGTTTCACAATGTAGACAGAATGAATGCCGGTCTTTGTAGTGATACCTTTTACCTGCAAGCAATCGACAGCAGCCTCTGTCCCTGCAAGGTGTTGTCAGTTGTTATTCAAGTGTTGGGTTTCATCTTATAGACGAATCTTAAATATCCACATTGTGGATTATTCGGTTGTTGTTTATATTTATCGGTAGGTCGCTTGTTTGATGGATTCATTCGGTGTTGTTTTTTGTTTTTTTAAATTGAATTTTAAGTGTTATTCCCGAGGTCGACATGGGCTTGTTTATGAGATGACCAAAATCGACACGCATTCTATTACTTTATCGGGGCATGGTTATACACAGCACTGAATAAAAATACTGGCAACTTGGTAGGGCTAGGGATCTGTTCATTCACAATGGTTCAATAGGTCTCCCTTGCCTCTTCGGATAGTTTCTCTCTTTTCCGCCTTCTATTCGCCTTCCCTCCTCAGCCACTGCCAATGAAAGAAAATCCGTGCCGGTTAACACTGTTTCATATGCGCATATACTCGAAAAATGTTTTATCCTAGTGACTATTCAACAGTATTATATTGCTTATATAACCCAACTTTATCTATAATAATAACAATAATAAGAAGAAAAATTAAGACGTCACAGTTATTTAGAGATAGTACACGGATTATTATATCAGTAATTTTAGCTTCCGTTTCCGGTGCTTCCCGTACACCGTTTAATCAGACTTGTGTTTCTTCCTGCTTATAAATATTATAAACCCAGGTCATCCAAGGGAGGGTTATAATTTCATCTCACTCATAATTTTATACGTCATCATTAACTTATGCGCATATGCTAAAAAACAAAATCCTCAAAAAATCAATATGGACATGGACCTAAAGTTCCACTTTGTTAATGTTTATTTGCTTTCCCTTCCTCTTAGATGCTTGTGGCCTCTCAGATGTGGCCCATGTGGAAAGTTTGCAAGAGAAGTCCCAGTGCGCCCTGGAGGAATATGTCCGAAGCCAGTATCCGAACCAGCCAACACGGTTTGGGAAGTTGTTGCTCCGCTTGCCCTCCCTGCGCACAGTCTCCTCCTCGGTCATAGAACAGTTATTTTTCGTCCGATTGGTAGGTAAAACACCGATTGAAACACTCATCAGGGACATGCTGCTATCGGGGAGCAGTTTTAACTGGCCCTACATGCCAATTCAATAGAGAGGGGGGGAAAAACATGGACCAAACAAACAAACAAAAAACATGTTAGGACTGCATATGGGTTGCTGAAGGGAGGGGGGGAGGGGAGCGGGTGGGTTCTACAACGAATATATGGAATTTAGAAAAAACAAAACATAACTGCTGTTACACGGGGAGAAGAAAGGCGCTGACATGAACCGCTGTGGATTCTTTAAAGCCACCACATCCCATAAAAGTGAAACAAACATCCAGCCCTCTCGGTTTTCAAGCGGTGTGGGATGTCCTGTGTCATTTCTCTCTTTTTAATGTGACAAGAACATCGTTGGATTGAAATAGCGGAAGGGAATTAGAAAAGCTGAATTTTACATTTCATTCAAAAAAACAAAACAAAACAAAACTCTGTCCTGTGTCCCATGATGAACTGTTCTATTTTTCTTTCTTCTTTTGTACTTTCCTGTTGCACTGCCCCTCACTGGTTTCAAACCGACCCATATTTGTGTTGTGTGTTACACGTGTTGTTTGTTTTCTGCGTGACAATGATGTTGATTCTGAAACCTCGCGAGTATTGTTGAACATTTGAAATGATTCTCTGAAAGAATTTAAACCACAGCAATAGGAGTATAGGCTCGTGATCCGAACGTTTACGTTACAAGCGCACTTATGGCCGATCATTGCCATCTGCGAATGTGATTGGATGGATTCATTTCGATAATCTGTGAATATTGTTGCTTTAGTTGATATGACGACATTGGGTTACACGTTTTATACTTTTTTTTTTTTTTTTTTTTTTTTTTTATTAAAGCCTATAAGCTCTACAATAATGTGACTGCTGTAGTCATACGACCCATTTAAAAAAAAAACAAAACTGGCATACGTTCCGAAGTTTTCATAAAAAATAATACCCAAAGTCTGGCTTTTGTTTCAGTTTGATCAAAGATCATTCAAAAAAAAAAAAGAAAAAAAAGAAAAAAGAAACATAGCGTTTGCGGTTATTTCAACTACAATTGACTCAAACATGTTGAGGTCAAAGGCTATAAGATTTTGCAGCCCCTAGTGTTGAGTGGCAGTATTTTTTATTATTGATATCATTTTTTTAATTTTTTTTTTATTGAAGTGTCAATGTCTTTTCATTTCAAGCATCAAGTGCCTGACAAGCATGTGCTTACTTATCAAAACACTTGTGAAAGTACTGTCTTTGCTTGTGCGCGTGTGTCCAGTTGTGGCTGGGATCAGAGAGGTGGCACAATTAGGTTTCAGTCTTCTGTGTTCTAGCTGCAAAAACACTAAACTTATATTCATTATTATTAGACACAGTATTCCTAAACGCGTAGGTCAGTTGATTTTCTATTTTTTCCCTTTTATATAAAATGTGATTGAGATAAAAAAAAAACAAAAAACCTGTGGTTGCCATTATTTATTTGTCTTAATTGCGTCTTTAAAAATGGAGTGGCAAACTTAGCCAGTAGCACGGAAGTTTATGTTTTTTTTTTTTTTTTTTTAATGTGTATATATACATTTTACTTCTTTTTTTTTCATGTATATTTAAACTGTGAATGCATGGCCAGGGGTCGCTAACCTATTTTATCTTTGATATATAAATGTAAATGTTTTCTCTATCTTTTTTGTGTTTCTTTTTTTATTGTATGGATATAATCTGTGCATTCGGTACACTAGCCCTTGTATTTATTGAAACAAAAAAACAAAAAACAAAAAAAGGACTACGAGGGGAAAGTAACGGCGTCTATTCCAAGGATTAAACTGACTTAAACAGGGTGAGTAGGTTCGGGGAGGAGAGAGGAGTGAGTTGATATATTAACTCGAGTATTATTGCTCGGAAAGGTCTCAGCCGTGTTGATACGCGGTGCGTAGGAGCGCCTCCAAGTGGAAGTGAGTGCGGGCGCGTGTGCATTGGGGAAGGGGGCACATTTTTTTTTTCTCTCCTTTTGAGGCTTTTTTTTTCTTCTTTCCCTCCTTATACACACGCGCGCGCACCAGCACGCACTATGTGCGTGTTGTTGTAGAACAGAAAAAGCAGGGTTCGCTGAGGGAACACTGAACTTTGGCTGCCAGTTGAGGCCACGTGAAGACCAGAGATTGTAATTACGAAAACCTTAAACTGACCCACGTTTTTATAGAAATACGAAATATATGACTGCAGGGTATTGATAATGTATAAATATTTTTTTTAAAGAGTTATTGTTATTATTATTATTATTAACTGCAAGTGATATACGTGAGTGTGCGTGAGTGTTTATAGTTGAACACAATTCTTTGTTTGTTTGTGTTATCTTAAATGTAAACAAGCATTCTGCTGTACATTTGTTCTTGGTATTAAATTATAATTTATGAATTAAAAAAAATTACCCTTTTTCATCTTTTCTTGCTTCTGCTTTGGCTGTGAATCCTCTGTGGGATTATCGAATTCGCGCGCGTGCGCGCGTGTGTTTGTGTGCGCGTGTGTGTTTGTGGGTCTTTATTTATTCGCTTTGGCTTTTTGCTTTTTTTTCTTGAAGTTTTAAATAGATCGCATAATTGACCAATCAACCAGTTACAGCGCCGCGCTCGTATATTTTTGGCTTAGTACTTTTTTTTTTTCCTTAAAGGGCGATTCTGAATTATTTAGAAGTAAAAATGAATTGTTCTGATTTTATAACTAAGACAATCGTAAACAAAATAATTTAATTTATTTGGATGATTTTATAACCATAGAAATGAACGTCACAGCGCACCCACAATGCGTCATTAATTAATGGACGGGTGGAGGTGGTGTATAGTTCCTTGAGATGAATTATAAAAACCTGTATACGTTGAGTACGTCTAAATACCCTGTAAAACATGGGTGGCTCATTTAATCATTTTTATTCTTGGATTGTCATTCCAAATCTTGACATATACCGGATGCTTTGATACTGCGTTTTGCTTTGTTTTTATGATGGCATGCTTTGCATAAAACTACCTCGGGCTTTACAACATGCTTATCAACAACGTAGATATTCGTAAACGTAAACTGATGTTATGGGGCTCGCCTGGGGGAACGCTTTGTTTATCCACATATACAATGACACTCTGACTACCTGTCTGATACAACAACAGCTATTATCACGGGCCTGTGTGCTCGTCAAGATTGAACACCCAAAACATGTTTTTTTTTTTTAAAAAAAAAACCCCAAAGTGTTATTTACAATAATGCTCTGATCTTTCATTAGTACCCACCAAATCTAAAAAAAAAAAAAGACCACTGTTCTGCGTTGAAAATTTCAAAATTACAAATGTAAGAAAATAGTGCCATCTACCTGCGGCGCCCGGGACTGTGTTTTCCCACGGTACAACAATGTTTATGTCACTGAGGGGGCCAAGGGACATGGCATGCCGCAGCCATGGTGCGCATGCACGCCTGGCTGCCTGCAGTAGTACGAGTAGTAGGAGTATGTTTCCGCAAGAGTCCGCGCCAGTCGACAGTCAACTTTATGTGTGTGTTGCCAAAATGGGTTTTAGCACCGTAGTCATATCACTGCGCCTGTTTTCGTGACAGAAAACTGGGCACACACTGGGACAGACACAAACATTATAACAATTTACGTTGGTCCAAAGGACTTATCACTACGCACATGTAGAATAAATTAAAAGTGGACCCTCTCTATTTTAGCTTACTCGACTTTGCTAGAAGTTCTTGAGTAGTGAGGGGGGGTGAGAGAGGGAGGGAATGGGGGCGGGGGGGCGGTAAAAGAAGGACCATGCAGAGATAACGAAGAACAAGCGGCTGAATTTCAAAAAGGGGCGTGGCTCTTTGTGACGTCAGCGTAAAACGACAGCTAATGTAGACTGTGTGAATACATCCCGACCCAGACAGGAGGCTAGTTTGGGTTTCCTTTTGTTAGCTTGAAATTCGGATATATCACAGGGCAGTAGAGTATAAAGGTTCACTGCAGTACTGAAAAAAACAAAAACAAAAAACAAAACAAAACCCGGTTGGTGCAACTGTAGTTCACTGATATAATATAATCCAGAATTGGATTACGTAATTAGAATAGAGAACGTATAATTAACTCTAAAAAATATTGCTTTATTTTAATATAAACGACATTTTACACATGGATGTAAAAAAAAAAAACTACATTTATTTATTTTGTCTTTTGATTTCCAGATACACAAAATCACAAATTACTGGGTTAAATTATTTACAAAAAACATAATAATCGGGAATAGGTTTTAAACAACTCATAGGCTACTACTAAAAATGAAAACGAAGAATTTTTTTTTTTTTTAAAAAAAAGAGCGTATTGTGCTCATACAAAGAATGCTTCAAATAAGTATGCTATTCTAATGTTTTATCTATTCTAATAATACATAATGTACATATATTATGTCCAATATTCATGTGTTCGGAAATAGAGCGAAAATAAGACAGGTGTCTGAGAACGAACTTTCTGGAATCACAGACAAACACAGGCGGTTTGAGTCGGGGGGATTATTTGAAGAGACTGCAAACACTCCTAATATTAGGCTGCTGCCCCCCCCCACCCCTTTTCCACCCTCCTCCGGCGCATTATTTCATCTGGACTACTTTATATAGGCCTACATCTTGTATGGATTTGTTAGACGGGGGTTCCACTGATACTTAATTAAGATGCCCATGGGGCGTAGCGCGGTGTCTGCGTGTCAGGGGTTACGGTGTCTGAAGCCTCGACTTTCTGCAGGTTTGAAGACGACTGAGCCTTCAGAAGTCCGCTTGTGCACACAGAGACTCACGTGTGCATATTGATATTTCTATTTCGGTCACATTTGAGAGAGTACGTTGTAATGCGACGATGTGTTCGAGATCAGTTTAAATCGCACGTCCCACAATAAAAGGTAATGAAAAGAGGATTTCTGGACTCTCCTCTCTCGGTGTGCGATGACGCAAAGAGCTGGGAAATGAATTTGGAGTTGTTGTCGTCGGACTGTGTGTGTGTGTTCTTCGACAAAAGCACTCACGCGTCTTCAATTGAACGCGATTGCCACCGACATCATCACCATTACTGTCGTCACGGGTTTTCATCAATCTATCATTGTTATTCTTTCCCTCCTCCTCCTCCTCCTCCTCCTCATCATCACCATCATCATCATTATCCACAGCAGCAGCGGCGCCGTTGACAACAGCCAAATTCTAATCTCGATAAATCAGTCGACGATACATATATTATTCCATATATTGCAGTTAGACCGAAACGCGGTTTTGTTTTTTTTCCTAAACAGAACGGGAAATAATTTTAAATTTTTTTTTTAACTCCTACTGCACCGCGGATTTTGGCACAGGGTGAACATCTGATGTTTCTGGTGTTGGATTATATATATTTTTTTTGTACTGAGGAAATGTGCAAAATGAACACCGTGTCGTAACGGATTTTTCTTTTCTGTAATTTTGAATCAGAGTGAATTCGTTGCAATACATTTAACCAATTTCCCCCCCTTGTCACACTTACTGACATCACGCTGGTCCTGCAACAAGTACAAGACACCGCGCTGCAAATGCGAGGGCAAAAACGAGTAACGCAGCAGCGGCATGAGGGCATTAGTGTATTTAATGTACTCGCATATAAACCAAGGTCTTGAGAAAATAATCTTTAATGATTATTTGAAAACAGGAGGAAGTGCGAAAAGAGATGCGGCGGAATCTTTGCTGATGCTCTTCTGGGACCATCAGCCTTTCCCGCTCCGAATGTTCATTAATGGCTTTATATGAAGTTCAAAGAGAATTGAGTTTCATTTAATTTAGTTTAAAAACATATTTTAAAATGCTTCAAAACCAATGCAGTCTCACATTAGTATTAAAAGTAGTGCGGCTGGTGCTGCGCGTGTCGTGATTGATTTGCAGATTGACCTTTACTAAAGTTTATTTATTAAATAATATTTTGTATTATTAATTTAAATTGAATGCAAATGCGAAAAAAAAAATATTTTTGCGATGCAGTAATTTGGTCCTTTATTGTGGAAACTAAAGTTTGTGACCACTTGTTTTTAACACATCACGTAGGTATACCTATATATATTACGTTGTTATTTGCACTTACTACAGGATAGTCTTCGTAGCATATATTACATATATTCACTACCATATAATATATACATATATGTGCGTGTGTGCGCGCGCGCCACATATCATGAATACCTATATACATTACGTTGTTACTTGCACTTACAACGGGGCAGTTTTTTAGTTTCCGGAAGCACAGAGAGCTTAAAATATCACCTGTGTTTCTGGAAGCTTCGAGTTCACGTCAGACCACAGCGTCGCGTCGCGCAGCGCAGGGCAGTGAGAAAGTCTAACGGCTGACAAGCTGACTGACACGGTTGTCAAATGGAATGTGACTGCCTGTCGAACGAATAACGTCGTTGAGTACTACGGTTTCACCGAAGTTTTGACCGTGACTCGCAAGTCTTTTTCAAGCCACGGTCGAGTCGCGCAGTAGTGGCTAAAATCCACCGACGCTACGCTACAGTTCTGCGTATGAATAATTCCATCATTTGGATAAGTGACGTGTAAAAACAGGTGTGAAACACACGTGCTTATATATACCTGCTGCTTTTCACTCGGATGGACGTGAGACTTCACGGGGCATGTAGTAAAAAAAAACCCGATTTAATTTGGATAATAATGAATAAGAATACAGTATTATTATTGTGATTATTATTATGGAATCATAATAATAATAGTAAAAATAATTATAACTTATATTATTATAGAAATAAAAATAGCAGCCAAACGGAACACATACTTTGTACAGACATAATTAAAGTTGTTTTTTTTCTGTTTTACTATAAAGCCAAAAATAAATCGACAATGTCGCTCTGCTCTGAAAATGTTCTTTGTCTCACTCTTCTTCTTCAGTTTTCTTTTTTTTCCTTCTTTTCTTTTTTTTTTTTTTGTTTGTACACAAAACAATCCCGCAATTGTTGAGAATTTGTGACCCATAAAATTTGAGGGTGGCTATCCTGGTTTTGGTATGTAATTATGCACAACACTTTGCATAAAGACTTGCCATCCGATCTAATGATAGAGTCTGCGGTCCAAAGACAAGTGCATCAGGAGGCAGCAAAGCCCAGAAAATATCTACTTCACACGAGGAACACGTGCAATTGTTTCCAACCGCTTGGGTTGTACTTTTTTATATATATATCACGTGGACATCCGAATAAACAAAAACGGTTTATCCTGAAAAGTAAATATCATCAAAGAACAAATTGCCTTTTAATGTAAGCAAAAAAAAAAAAAAATGTTTGTACACAAAACTCCAGACACTGGTAGACAACATAAAAACACGTCCGCTTATTATTATCTGTACTGTAATTATGGATCTGTATTGAACAGGGGTGATACGTA